AGGAGAAGCGAACCAGACCATGGCTGTGAGAGTGACCAACTATTCTTACTGGGTAGGGAGTGGGGCCTCTCATGACTGACTGACTGATTCCTCTCTTTTTTCTCCCCTTCAACTCACTGTCCTCTTCCTGGTACGCATTTCCCAGTGTCCCCAGTAGCTTCCTTCTCCTTTATGAGGGAGAAGAGAAAAAACAACCAAACAAACAGATAAAAAAGAATAACAATGGAGGGAGGTGGAGAGAAATAAAGGAAAAGAAATGGAGGGAGGGTGAGGCAAAAATAGAAGCAGAGAAATATAGAGAAGAAACAGAGGGGAGTTTTCTACTGATGAATATGAAAGATGGCAAGGAAGAGAGTTGGGTGAGGAAGAAAGACAAGGTAAAGGGAAGAGAAAAACACACAGAAAGATGGTGAATTCAAGAAAGAAAGGAGGAAAACAATGGAAGAAAAGGGATAGAAGGGGAAAGGGAAGAGGCAAGAATAAGAGGTGACTAAATTTATAGTGCTTCACCATATGCATCTGACACATCATAATATTGAATATAATGCAATCCATGAGACTTTTACCTGGCTTTCTCCTTAAAAATGGAGGTTGGAAGTGAGAATGGGGGAGAGCTGGAATATGGAGCCTGCCAAAACCAGAGGCTAGGCCTGATACAGCTAACTCCAAATACTTGTTTGTAGACCAGTTTGAAACCTGGAAAGGGAAAGGAAAATCTGTAATCATTTATGCAGATACTCAATAAACTCTCTTTAACACTGATTTAAGTACTTTAACACTAGGGTTTGAAATTATTTCCAGAGAAATCTTGAAAAGTAAAGCACAGCAGTCTTTGCTCCCCAAACAAACAAATATACATATGAATGAACAAACAGATATAAGATAAAATTGTACTTGGAGAAAAGGTGATTATACCTTGCTTAGTTTTATTCTGTCCCAGAGGCTAAATAGGAGTTTGAAAGAGTCAAGTTAATTTGCTTTAAAATCATATCACAGTTGCTCCAAAATAAGATAAGGCCTGTTTTATAACCCTCCATTTTGGAATGACTTAGTTGTGGCTATTGTATGCTATCTTCTTTATGGTCATAGGAACCCACATTTTAAACATCAAAAAGTCTAAGGAAAAAGCAAAACAAAACTTCCAGCCAAAGAACAGGTATGTCTTCAGATCACAAAGAAGGAAGGAACATGGGACTATGGCCACTTCCTAATTCTTCTAGTAGTTCTAGTTCACCTCTTCCTCTTCTTCAAATAACTATACATATATTTATCTTTTATATATTGAATGCATTCTCTCTAGGAGAAGATAAACTCCTTAAAGACAGCCACTATTTTTCATTGGATCTTTCTATCCCCATGGGTTTACCTATCATGTCTAGGCAGCTGACTCCCAAATCTACATATCCTGCTCTCATTCCTCTCCGGAGCTCTAAAATGGAACCTAGCCATCACCTTCCACCCCAACCCCCAAACCAGCCCTTCTCCTAAATGGCTTTTTTTTTTCCAGTCAGCAAGGTTCACAATCTAGGTGTCCTCTTCAATTTTGATTTGTCTCTTCCCTCCCTCCTCCCTCTATATCAAACAAATTGTCAAGTTGTTGATTCTTCCACCACAAAATCTCCACAATGTGTTCCCTTCTCTTCAGTGACATAATCATAATCTTAATTCAGGCCATCACCTTCTATAGGTGGCCACTGTAACAGCCTCCTAAATGGTCTGTGTCTAGCCTCTCTCCTCTCCAAACCAAGCTACAAACAACAGACAAACTGATAATCCTCAGGTGCAGATCTGACCGTGGCAACTTCACTGCTCCACAAACTGCCCTTGTTCCCTGTTGCCTCCAGGATAAACTGGTTGGTTTGCCATTTAACAATATCTCCAGTCCACCCATCCTTCAAGAATGATTACAAATGACTCCTCTCCACACACTTTGCATTCCAGCCAAACCATCAGCCTGGCTGTTCCTGGTAGGTAGCATTCCATTTCCCATATCTGTGTTTTGAATAGACTGACCCCAATGCCCCGAGCACTATTACCTCTTTGGGACCATTTGTTCCCTTCAAAGCTTTGCTTAAGTACTGATGAGGGCGGGGCCCAAGCCAAGATCTTCACCCTTTGCCTCAAAGGGAATCTGACTCACAGGCCCCAGACCCTCATCTTCCTTTGAAAGCCTTAGGCTCCCTTTTGTCTATAGGCCCCAGAAAGGCCTTCCTTTATCTCCTTTTGAAAGTCCTAGCCCCACCTTGATTTTGTGCAGATGCCTTTCAAACTTCTGCCTTCCTGTTCCCTCCATTATCTATTCCCATTGTCTATTCAATCTCTCTGACCTCCCCAATTAGAATTCTTACCTAGACCCTTTCCCCAACCCCCTTCTCTGGCCACCCAAAGTCACTTTAGTATTTAAAATCCACCTTGGCCCTCATTCAGATGCTGAGAATCTCAAGCCCACAAGGCTGAGAACCTCTCATGCCCGCTCGTCTTTACGGGCGTCACCTGGTCAATGTGATTTATCACTAATAAACTTTTCCTCTGCCTGAAGAAGATTTGAGTTGAATTCATTCAGCAGGGCCCAGTACCGCGATCTTGGGGTCCAGCACCCCAAAACCCCTAGACCTCTTCAGTACCACCCCCTATAAGAGGACTGTCCCAAATGCTTGAGACTCCACTCCTCAGAAATAATTTTACATTTACTTTGTATATGTATTATATGTATTGTATTATATTTATTATATATGTAAATATATTATATTATATGTATATCTGTATCCCAAGTTAAAAGTTCTCTGAGGGAAAGGATGGTTTCATTTCTTCCTATCCCTCAGTGCCTGACACCTAGTAGGCACTTAATATGCACCCCAGAGCCTGACAAGGACCTTGCACATAGTAGGTGCTTAATCGAAGCAGCTAGGAGGTGCAGTAGAGTGTTGCTCTTGGAGTCAGGAAGACTTGAAAAGACTCGAGTTGTGACTTTTTGCCTTTGACTCTTAGTGAATTGTGTGACCCTTGGCCTTTCCTAGCCTTAGTTTCCTCATTTATAAAAATGAGAATAATAGTACCTACTTCATAGGATTGTTGTGAGGATTAAAGGATAATATATGTAAAGTACTCTGCAAATCTTGAAATGCTACACAAGGTGTCCCAAAAGTATTACGGTAGTTTTAACAGAAGACTGCACTAAGACTTTTGGGACACCCTGGATAAATGCTATTTTATAATGTATAAGTGTGAGACTGGGTTGTAGTGGCCCATAGGAAGTCTTTTTCATCCACAGCTTCTCCTAGGGAAGAGCAGGCATGGGCTTAAAATACTGCAAAAGGAGGGGGTGTCATCTATCTAGTTAATTAAAGCACACACGCCACGCTGGACAATTCCTCCCCTCCTTACAGGAAAAAAAAAAGCAGAAAATAAGGACCTGTTAGATCACTCCCTTTGAGAATGCTTTTTGTAAAGGAGCCCGAGAAGGAAGGGTCACGCGATTTCTTTGCAGCATGTTTCAAGAAGGCAGAAAAAAACCGCGAAACCCACCCTCATATCCCTTAAGAGGAGTCACAAACAAATGCACCCACACGTACAACCTCGCAGTGAGGAATGAAGCAGGCACTAGTAAGTAGCCCAGCCACGAATCTCCAGAAACCTCTCTCCGCGGCTAATGGGTTTAGCAGGTGACTTAGCTGCAAGGCTGGGCCTTCCTTGGTCGCTCAAGCTCGGAGGAGGGAGGTGGCTGGGTGGCGGGTGTGCGTGTCTGGAAGGGCGTGGGGGTGGGGGGAGGCGGGGTGCTGCTGGCTGTCCCTCCCCCACGCTGCTGGCACAGCAGCCTCTGCGTGTCAGGTACCGTGAGAAGGCGCGGGAGGAGGGGGAGCCCAGATGAGTACAGAGGCGATGACTTACAGCCGGCTTTCCAGAAGCCGCGCACGCAATGCAAACTCCGCACGCAAAGGGGAGGCGACCGAGGAGAAGGAAAAAAAAACACACACGCCGCCACCAAACTTTTCAACTCTATAAAGCTCGGGAGGGTTTTTTTTTTCCTTTTTCCTTCTGCGCAGCCCATTCGGCCCACCAAGGGGCGCCAGCCTGTCCCGTCTCGCCCCACCCTCCCTTGCACTTCGTGCTCCCCCAGGATAATCCTCCCTTGAGGCTGTTCTGCCCAGACAGACAGAAGAGCAAAGGGAGAGCGAGTGTGCGCCCACGGCCAAAGCCTGCCCGGGTTACGCAGAGAGCTAGCAAGCACGCGCGTCCTGACCGAGCATCTACCGGCAGATTCCTGCGTGGTTGTCCGCCGAGGGAGTCGGGCAGGCTCTTCGCCATCTGCCGGACATCTATGATTATAACTATGATTGCTTATTCAAGTACCCTAGCTTGAGGATACGTGAAACCCTACCTCATATGCCTTGGAGGTGTAAGAAGTTAGTGCTCAGGTGCGCCTTAAACATTCTGAGGGTATTCAATAAACTTAAAAAAAAACCCAAAGCGTTTTTTAAACATGTTCACGCTTTCCTGTACAATCCTCATTCTTCTTTGTATGTTGAAATGTTTGCGGTTGTTATCTGCAAAGTTCACAGGGGAAAAATATTAAAATATAAGAGTAGGGAATATGTATTTATATAAGCGTCTGCTATGTACCGGGAGCTTTACACATACCTCGTTTTATCTTCAGAACAGCCCTGAGAGGAGGTATTGACCCCAGTTTACAAATGAGGAAACTGAGGCAGAGGTTAGGTGACTTGCCCAAGGTCCCTAGTATGTGTCTGAGGCCTATTTTGAAATCAAGCCTTCCGGACTCTAGGTCCAGAGCTCTATCTGCTGGGTAATCTCGCCGCCTCTAAGGGTGTGAGTGGGGGGATATTTTAAATAATTGAGTAGATAGATAATAGTTGACAGGGAGATTAGGTGGGTAAGCAGACAGACAGACAGATAGATAGATAGACAGACAGACAGATAGATAGATAGATAGATAGATAGATAGATAGATAGATAGATAGATAGATAGATAGATAGATAGATAGCAAAGTGGTGGGAAGGAAGAGAGAGGAGCAAACGTGAACCACAGAGCCTGTTGTTTCCTTAGCTTACAGTTTATTCAAACGCGGTGCAGGCTCACACCACTTTTACCGTGCTGGAGCTGAGGGGGTAAAGCGAACAGATGACCAAGAGAATAAAATAGGAGGGGCATCAAAGCGTGCTGAATCAAAGGATTGGATTACTTGTTTAGAGTTGGAACGGACCTTAGAAGCCACTAACTCCAAGACCTTCGCGTTAAGCCTGAGGAAAATGAGGATGGGAGAAGTTAAGTGACTAGATTCGGGAAGATCGGGGTTGAGGTTGAAATCCAGACTGCCAGGTACAGGCCACGTGACTCTGGACAAGTCACTTAATTTCTCAGTAGCCCCAGGTCAGTCTCAAACAATAGGACACAAAGCAGTTGAACATCTGCAGCTGGAAGAGGAAGTTTTCCTCATGAAGACCTCCTGAGCAAGGAGGGGAAAAGGTCCCAGAAAGCAGAGTATAGATTAAATGTAAAGAAAATCAAATGTTTGCATTAAGACCCTCTGATGCCCATGGAAGAATTGGCCCTGGGAAAAAGTGATGGACTTGGGGATGAGGAGGGTGACTTTGGTGCTGGGATTCAGCTCTAAATGGAAACTAGGTGGAATCCGAGGCTTGGGAACCAGCGTATACTTGTATCTTAGGGGTGACTGACTGAATCTCATTGCAAAGAAGCCTGCCGACTGTATTCTGGGGGGTAAATTTGCTAGTTACTCAACTAAATCCTGCTTTCGGCTGTACAGCAACTAGGGTCTGATTCTCCCATCACTTTTGCCTTTGGGAACTGAGGTCCAACTCACGCGGGTGCCACTCTTAAAGGACCCCTCCCCCCTGCCTACACTGCCCCGCCCTTTCCAGGTCCAGTCTGCCTGCTGATGCTCCGACCGGCTCCCACCTCCCTTCTTTCTTCCTTTCCTCCCTCCTTCCATCCCTCCTCCCTCCTTCCATCCCTCCTCCCTTTCAGAGTCCTTAAAACCCGGAGAAATGGGATGCATCATTTCCAAAGTCCGGACTGGTTCAGTTTGCAAGTAGGAAATTTCTGTTTCACATCAGCTCTGTCAGCTAGGAGTAGGGACTGACCCTGCCATCCTTGCTCCCAAACCACCTCTAGAGCTGCTAGAAAATCCTAGCATTCTTCGCGTCCTGGGGTGGAGGGCACCTGGGAAGGTAACTACCTTTTCATAGCTTCATCTCACCTAAGGTTACTCCAAATTCCTTAATTTCGCCCTCTGGGAGGGAGTGGGGATGAATTTCTAATTCTGTGGAGCAGGTGAAAAGAGAGACACTCTCCACCGTGCAGCCTTTGAGATTTATACATGCCAGAATGGTACTGTCAGGAGTATAGAGGTCTGATACCTCTCCCTCTTCGACGCAGCTGAACCTTGGTTGTACCCAGAGCTACACTCATTTCCTATTGCTGGAAGCAGCGCCTATACCCACAGGTCAGTAGTATGTTTGAGAAGTCTGGGAAGCCCTCACCTCTCCGTTTTACCAGTTTTTGCAGGTGGGTGTGTGAGGGGTGGAGGGAGGACCAGGGAATGCACCAATTGGGAGGTAGGGAAGAGGGGCAGTCCGTGCCTAGATACTCCTCGGGGTTTTCTTCTCTCTAGAGGGACCGTTATACTGCTCTGTTTTGGGGCTGTTTCTCAGATGCCACACCTGCCCCTTCCTGCCCTGTTAGTAAAGAGTGAGTGAATGGAAGAAGATGAGGGGAGCGCGGTGGGAAGAAGTACAGTTCAGGGGAGATGCTGGTGGAATTCAGCGTCTTCCCACAGACAGCACTAGAAGTATCCTTGGCGGAGTGTGTGTCCGGCCCCAGAGTAATCACAACCCCCTTGCTTTCTAGTTATAGTTGTTTACGTTAGGTATGGTTTGGTCTATCCTAACTTAATTCTACCAGTTGCTCTAAGCTTCTTTCTCCCCTCTCCCTAAAGCGTCCATCACCCCCATCCTTCCACCCCCCCCATAGCTCTCGATGCCCATGGCTCTTGTCTCCCCACAGCATGGCCACAAGCCGAAGTAGCGAAGGAGCCTGGCTTCCCGGCCTTCTGTCCACCCAGCAGACCACTCTCCTGCTCCTCTTTTCCGTGCTGGCCGCCGTCCACTTGGGCCAGTGGTTCCTACGGCGTTGCCGTCGGCCCCCATGGGCCAGCTGCAGCCCCCCTGGCCCATTCCAGTGGCCCCTGATCGGGAACGCTGTGGAGGTGGGCAGCATTCCGCATCTCTCTTTCACTCGCTTGGCCCGCCGCTATGGCGATGTCTTCCAAATCCGCTTGGGCAACTGCCCAGTGGTGGTGCTGAACGGCGAGCGAGCCATCCGCCAGGCCTTGGTACAGCAGGGGTCCGCCTTCGCCAGTCGCCCGCCTTTCCCCTCTTTCCAAGTGGTGTCCAACGGCCGTAGCCTGGCTTTCAGCAAATACTCGGAGATCTGGAAGGTGCAGAGGCGGGTGGCCCACGGCACGCTGCGCGCCTTCTCCACGGGACAAGTCCGCAGCCGCCAGGTCTTGGAGCAGCATGTGCTGAGTGAGGCGCGGGACCTGGTGATGCTGTTTGTGCAAGGCAGCTCTGGGGGCGCCTTTCTGAACCCAGGCCCCCTCACCGGGGTGGCCGTGGCCAACGTAATGAGCGCCGTGTGCTTCGGCTGCCGCTACAGCCACAGTGACCAAGAGTTCCGCGAGCTGCTGAGCCACAATGAGCGCTTCGGCCGCACCGTGGGGGCGGGCAGCCTCGTGGACGTGCTGCCTTGGCTTCAGCGCTTCCCCAACCCTGTGCGCACAGCCTACCGCGACTTCCAGAAACTCAACCAAGACTTCTACAGCTTCGTGCTGGACAAGTTCCTGAAGCACAGGAGCAGCCTGAAGCCCGGGGCCCCACCTCGGGACATGATGGACGCCTTCATCCACACCTTGGGGAAAGAGGAGGAGAGTCCCGGAGAAGCAAAGCCTGGGTTGCGCCTAGATACAGACTACGTGCCGGCCACAGTCACAGATATTTTCGGGGCCAGCCAGGACACGCTTTCCACTGCACTGCAGTGGCTTCTCATCTTATTCACAAGGTAAGGCTAGACTGACCTGAAGAGGAGGGGGCTGGGCCCTGAACCAGAGGCACAGATTTAGGTCATCTTAGTCTCTCTAAAGTTTCCCAGCCGTCTTCAGTTTCCCTACCCTCCCAACTTCTGTCCTGGGCTGGTGTGCTTGCGTGCTGTAAGGAAGCAGGGGCATTTTGCTGACCATCCTGTGACTGCAGCCGCACATAGTGACGCAGCGTCTTCTGCAGAGTTGTGCCCCCTTCATTTTCGATCGCTTGAAGCCTTCCATAGTTAAGGAAGCTAGAGAAGTCTCCTAAACTGGAAAAACGTGTGAAGGCAAATCAGTGCGAAACACTGGTAGATAAACGGGCCTTTGAGCACTTGAGGATCCCGCCGCCTAGCCTTCCCCTCCCCCCCTTGTCCCTCCCTCCCAGTCACAAGAAAAGCTCTAGGAGACTGTTCCTCCTCCCCTCTTCCTCTCCTTCCCCTCCTCCCCTCTCCTCCACCTCTCCTCCCCACTCCTCAGTGGAAAGTGTAAGGCACTAAATATGTTAAATAAACACATCAGCCCATTAGGCGCGCTGGGGCTTAGCTTAGTCAGCAGTGCGTATCTGAGGCGGGCTCTGGCAATCAAACCGAGCAGACGATTTAGGGCTGTTTCCCAAGGAAAGTAAACGGAATGAAGCAAAGCAAGCTCCGAGAAGGGCTGCGCCCCCCCCCCCCCCCCGGCCCCGAGACTTGGTTGCGGCCCAGATCATGATTAGCTAGCACGGAAGCTTTGGGCGTGGAGCCAGAAACACAAGGTCTTATTATAAAGGAAGGAAAGAGCAAGCTGCGAGTGTCATAGAAAATAGATAGGGATGGGGCGAGGACTCATAAAACGCAGAGGCGGCCCGGAGCAATAGGTTTACCAGGTGGAGAGGAAGCTCTCCACAACCCAGGTACGGCGCGCACAGACTGTGGGAATGTGCCTGAGCCTTCTGTCTCTCTTCTTTGTTGTGATCGTGTGACTTGAAGCAGCAGCAAAGGAAAGGTTAGATTTTGCCACCCTCTTAGAGCAGACTCTATGTATACAAGCGCCAACCAAAATCTAATAAGTACAAGACTCATAGTCAACGGCAATTTATTATAGAAGGGATGCTGCTCACAACTTCTGTGAGGTTATTCGCAGAAAACTAGAACTGCCACAGAGCTATGGCAACCACATGTAGAAATCTTAAAAAATCAGTGACGGGAAAAGTGATACCTGGAATCGGAGAGTACAGTCTGTTTTATCAATGTCAATTGAGAGTATAATGTTACACTACAACTGAAGAAAGGACAGTTTAGAATTCAACTGCATTTTAAAAATCTTGCATAAATTCTCAATTTTAGTTTTCAATATCCTTAAGATGGTACCCAACTACTTTCTGTACAAGCTGGAAATTTACCTGTAGAGAATTTCTCCAATGAGTAAATATTTAAGGAAGGGATAAGAAAAACGCTTCCTTAGTGAGTGGGTTTTTATCGAGTTGTTCCCAAATCATCATGTCATTTCACACTTGTCTGTCTCTATAAACTTAACTGGAAAAAAAACACCCTTCCACTTCTTTAGCCAGTCAGAGTTAAGAAATGCTATCATTTTGGCATCTCTTTAAAACAATACAGCAGGAAAAAAGAAATATGATATCATATGGTTGTACCAAGCATCATTATACAGGATTAAAAAAAACCACAGAAACCAACAACAACTCTCCTTTAAGAAGATAGAGTAGACAAATATTATGCTGCATAGGCCCTTAACATAAAGTGAAAAGAAAACTTTTAAGATGTAATATCCTGAGTGTCCCAAAGTTAAAGCCCATTTAATGATGTAACCAGAACTCATGAAATTGTTTTAGTTACAGTTATATTGTTAGACATGTTATGTTAGCTTCTCATTCTGGAAAATTTTAAAATAATCAAACAACTCTTTCCTAAATAGATAATTTAAAATATTTTTCTTGATCCAATAGAAACTGCTTTTCCTAATTGTTTTCTCCACTTGTATTTTTAAAAACAGGTATCCTAAAGTGCAGGCTCAGGTACAAGAAGAATTGGATAGAGTTGTGGGCCGAGATCGATTGCCCTCTTTGGATGATCAGCCTCATCTTCCCTACGTCATGGCTTTTCTGTATGAAGCCATGCGCTTCAGTAGCTTTGTGCCTGTCACCATCCCACATGCCACCACCATTGACACTTCAGTCATGGGTTACCACATTCCCAAAGATACAGTGGTATTTATCAACCAATGGTCAGTTAATCACGACCCAGTGAAATGGCAGAACCCAGAAGACTTCAATCCAGCCCGATTCCTGGACAACAAAGGATTCATTGACAAAGATATGGCGAATGGGGTCATGATTTTCTCGGTGGGCAAACGCAGGTGCATTGGGGAAGAGCTGTCCAAAATACAGCTATTCCTGTTTATTGCCATTTTGGCCCACCAGTGCAATTTCCTTGCCAATCCAGAAGAGGACCCAGAAATGAATTTTAGTTATGGGTTAACCATTAAACCACAATCATTCACAATTAATGTCACACTGAGGGAATCTATGGAACTACTTGATAATGCTGTTCAAAGGCTACAAGCCGAAGACAACCAATGAGTAGCTAGCAGAAATGTAATGAACCCAAAGTTGGAAAAACAAATGAGTCTAATAGTCTCTGTTAGTCTCTTTCTGCCATCAACACATGCTCCTGTGAGCCTTTCAGATGAGCACCCACCAATAAGTATTTCTTAAGTGCCTCATAGGTGCAGCAGAGTCCTGGGGTATATTATTTTACACCCCAAACCAAGTAGAGTAGTTTGAAGGAAAGAATGAGCCCAAAAAAGAGCGGTAAATATTCTACCAGCTTACTCTTCATCTTCTAAGCCTTTCAACATTCATTAAAAATTTTTGTTCAGAAAGGCCCTAGTACTTAAAGATTATGTTTTATCTTTAACCAAATGTAGCACTCAGCGTTGATTGAGAAATGATATAATCTATGATGTAAAATCGCTCATGCAAAAAGTAAATGGGGGGAAATTCAGTTTATAGCAAATTTTAGTGTTTTATAATGAATTTTGAAATGTAACCTGTAATATTCCAGGCTAGATACTCGCCTTCTGGTTTCCAAAATTCAGTATATTTACAAATTTGGTAAAATTATGAATTTGTAGGTTCAACTAAAATTCAACTGGATGGTGGACTGTGACTAGTCTATTAAAGGATAAATGAAGTTAGTTCATTACAAACTACACAAAACATGCAATATGAATAACTATTCATTATAAATAAAAATAGTGTTAGTGAAAAGGAGTTATTTAGATAATGAAAAACCAGATTAAAGCTATCTCTTAATGTAGCAATATGTGCACATATGCACACACACACAAACACATATGCACACACAGACAAATGGAGTGGCTACCTGGTTGTTTGCTAAGACACACAAATATCCAGTTTAAATGATCTGCATTGTTTAAGGTACTACAACTGAAGGATGACAATTCTCATCTAAAACCCTTTTTAGTTTCAAGTTGTGCTCATTATTCCCCCAGCCTTTTATTATAATAATTTTATGTTCTTTTCCCAAACCGAGTTGATTAAAATTATTTTGTAACTTACTATCTTTCAACATTTTTCATATTTTAATGTGACCCTGAAATCTTTTTTTTTTTCAGGATCCACATTTTCAACTGAGGTTAATGAAAATTTTGAATCTTTGGTTGAAGAAGGATGGGGAAAGTTAGGCTCTTTTAACATGATGCCAAACATGTGGATGAATGATGAAAGTAGTTAGTTTCCTAGATGGCCTTTGGTATCTTATAGACAAAACACTTGGAACTTTGACCCAGATGTATTATTGTCCCTTACAGACATCCACATGGATATTTCCTGTATTAATCTCCTTTCATATTTCAAATTATATTTTAATAACAATTATAACACAAAGCACCTTCAGTGGCAGCATCCACATACTGAAATATATGGAACTGGAAAAAGGGTGATCCAAATTGAAGGAAACTTTGGTTTCTAACTGGTGTCGTGATATAAATGATAAATAATTTTTTAAGATAGCCAATTCAAGACACAGTTTTTGTAAAGAGGAGATATTCATATGTGTAGTTAGCTAAGTAAAATATTAGTTTATTGACTAACCTTAAAATTGAAAAGCTGATGAGCAAAATTATGATTTCATAGTTACTTCCAAAATTATAAAACAATTGCCTAAAAACTAACCATTTATTTGAAACAAAACTAAAAAAGAAATCATATGCACTTCTTTGGAAATCACTGTTGATAGAATTACAGACTGTTTTCTGTGTGTTTGAGAGAGGGAATTGGAAGAAAGATGAATAACTCAAATATTTTTCCCATGTATGTTAAACTACTTTGCTTGAAGCACATAAATTCAGAAAAAGAATGCCCAGAGTGCCAGTTGCAAGTCAGGATTTGTGATCTTCATGAGGACTGTAAGTTTTGGAAATTTAATAATGAAAACTAGTGGTTGTACTTATTTCATACAATTTTTCTTTTAAAAGGTTGTTCAAAAGCCATTGTTGAGACCAAATATATATGTGTTCCTTCCTTTACCATCACTGAGTAATCTAACCATACCCAAGTAGGACCAGAGAATTTGTTCTGTTGCCAAATTGGACTTTCCAGAAGTGCTTTGGCAGAATTCAGCATATAGAAATCTGAATAAGTCATTGAGACAGCTTGATTGAAACATTTGACTATGCCGTGATTCACTTCTCTCTCCATAGGTCCCAATGTTACCTGATAATAAAGCTGTGTTTATTTAATATGAGTAAAATAGATACTTCGTATTATCTGGTTAATTTGGTCAGGATATTTAGACACACCAGTTAATGTAAACTACTTAACTGACCACTCTCTTTTCTCTCCTCTCTTTTCTACCACCAAAAAAAAAATCCACTTTGTGGCCTGAATTTTTCAGATTGGTGATTAAATTGATTAGACTAAATGCATAATTACTTCATCTCATTTCATTTTTGAGCTATATAGATTCCATATAGAACATTTGCAAATCATCTGTTAAAGCAGAGTATCTGTTCCAGATAATCACTGCAGCTAGAACATTTTCATAAAACAAGTGTTTTTTTTTTTAAATTCTGAGTCTTGGACTTTGTAAGAAGATTGTCTTAAAAATATTCCAAAGGAAGTATCTCAGGATTGTTTTGTGGATTATAGAAAAGTTTTCATGCCCCAGAACTTAGCCTTCACCTGTGAAATTATTTTACGAAGTTAATATTTTTGTGTTAGATCTTTATTAGGTCATTTAATTATATAACATATACTTCATTTGTATTTTTATAATTATGAGGCTACTGTGTGAGAGCCCCTTGTTATTTAGCTTCTGTTATCTTTGGACCTTTTCCAATAAGCTTTAAATATGTATATAGTTACCACAGAACAAAGTTGTAGCTGAAAGTGATGCACATTCATTTTTGTGATATGCAGCATGAATGCAGTACCAATTTTATATATATTATATATATGCAAATGCATATATGCCCTTGTAAAATTGTCTCTTTTTAATTATGAGAGGATTTTTTTCTATCCTCAAGGATTGAAAATGCCTGTAATCATGGAATGCTAGTACCAAAACATTAAATAAAAGGTGTTTTTTTTAAAAACAATTGTTAATTTTATGTTATTGGATAAAGCTATTACATTTCATGAAGATACACAAGAACCCTTTCAACTATAGTATATAAATGGTTAACAAATGTGTGTCCCAAACATTTTATCCAGCCATTATCTCTTTTATGCTACTTAATCTTTCCATATGTTTATTTTATCCAGCCTCCTTGCAAATCCCTAATTGATGTATTAAACTTGTCAGAATCATCCCTGAAAGTTAAATCTCATTAACATCTAACCCAGCAAAATGGCTATTAGAAATGCAATTTGGTAAGCCCATTGGGATTGTAATCATATATTTTATTTTACAGGAAAAAAAGTTTTTTTAAATGTCAAACATATAACTCTGCCCCTCATAAAGGATTTGTATTTTGTTCATTTCTCTATCCATTTCTGGAGGGTGGGACAAATTAAAATGAAGTCAGTAGCTGGAAACACAATATGGAAGGAACTTATCCAAAGGGTGTTGAAACCTGAAAATTGTACACCCACCTACCCACCCCCAACCAATGTTTACACTTCGTCAGAGACTTTCTATTTTCAGGTGTATTTACTCTCTGACCTTGCAAACAGGCTTTGAATCTCTCAGCTAAAGCTGTACTGCAGAAAGAGAGAGAAAGACAGCCCATCTTTTCTGGCCTGTAGTTCATATCACGGTGAAAAAAAAGAAGAGGAATTATGAAATACAGAGTTGACTGCCTGAGGTCACTGACACTTTGGTGGAAACTTTCACTTTGCAGGTCCCTCCACTCCTCCGCCCCCAGAGGTAAAACTGTGAATTGACTTCAGAGAATGCTCATTCTTTTTTCCTTCTTGATAGTTTGAGATGGGAATTTGGTCATGGTTATTCAGCAGCCTTTCCTCCCTCAGTCAGATAGTGGGATTCTGGTTGCATGTTCAGGAAAACCAAAAGAGAATAGTTCCATGGGAAAATTCTGTTTTTTTTCCTTAATTACTCTTGAGGGGCACATCTTTGCAAAAATTTAAGCCACATAAAAACATAGTTGGTTTCTATTGTAACAACCAGATAGTGCAATTAATCCCATTGCATGGGGAGAAATGAAAACAGCTTTGGACGTGACAGGCACATTTATTATAAACACATTTAGTCTGTTTCTGGAATAGCAAAATGAATCACTGTATTTGCACAGATGCTAGGGGAGTGTTATTTACTTGTGTCTGATAGCCTTTCTCACTTCCCATTCCACTTATCTTTCCCTAATTCTAAGAATGATCTCCACTCCTTACCAAACTCAGCCATCTTATTGACTTGCAAGAAACAGAAAGGGAAAATATCAAAAAATGTAAGACTTGACTAGAATCAGAAGCAAAAAAACATTTTTATTCAAGTTACAAAACAGACAAAGTAGTCTGGTTGTGGTCTGCTGTGAAGTCTGGTATGATGTTGTGTGGGTCCAGTGCTATCCTCAAAAGAGCTTGACTGTGTTCTAAGCAGTTGGCCTAAGGTTAACTCAAAGTTGACTTTGGCATTGGAAGTAAGGGCTGAGGTTGGTCCCATGATGCAATGAGAAGAATGTTGGACTGGGAATAAGATGACCTGCGTTCAAATTTCACCTCTGCTGATTATTTTAGGAGTGACCTTGGACAATGCATTTCACCTCTACAAAATGAGGGGGTTGGAATAGCTGACCTGTAAAGTCCCTTCTTTCTCTAAATCTCTGATGGTATATTCTCTGCCATCTCATTGGTCTAAATGAGGACAGACAAATTATGGGCACGCAGTATATAGATGTGTGTATGTGTATGTGTGTGTGTGTGTGTGTGTGTGTGTGTGTGTTTATGGTCCAAACTTCACACTTGCACATGACCCTAGGGCAAGTGATAGTGGAGATCAGTGGTCTAATTTATTATGTCATCATCTCCTCTTCATGCAAGTAGAATGGAAAAGATGCCAGTATCTTTGTAGGAAGTCCAACCAGTATGAACAGAAAGCTGTACTTTTTGGAGTTTTACAAAAGCTAGACATTACTCAGTGTACTAATGGCATATGCCAATGTATATGGGCAAAATCTTATGGTCACAGAACTATCTCAAGAAGTCTTGGGGTTGGGCAGCTAGGTGGTGCAGTAGATAGAGCTCTGGCCTTGGAGTCAGGAAGACCTGAGTTCAAATCCAGCCTCAGACACTTGACACTTACTAGCTGTGTGACCCTGGGCAAGTCACTTAACCCTGATTGCCTCACAAAAAAGAAAAAAAAAGAAAAAAAAGAGGAAGTCTTGGGGTTGCAACATTCATTCTACATGATCCCATTAAGGCTATAACTTTGTAAGCAGTTCTGTTAACATCCTTGTTATCATGCTTTAAAAATTTTTTATTGGTGTCTTATATTTTTGTATTGCCTGGATTTCCTCCTGCATCCTTCTCAGAGAGTCATTATTTATAAAAGAGAATTTTTTAAAAAAGAAAAAGAAGAAGAAAAGAAAATTGAGCAATAACAGAAAAAATATTGACATTATATACTATATTCCACATGTGTGGACCCTGACCTCTGCAAAAAATAAAGGGGTGGTATCTTCTCATATCTCTTCTTCAGGGTCAAGTGTGTTCTTAGCAATGTTGCAATATTGATTTTTCAATTATTTTGTGGCTGCTTTTTCCATTTACATTGTTATAATTATCATGTATATTCTTTTCTTGGCTTCCTTACTTCATTTTGCATTAAATCATGTCCATCTTTTCATACTTCTTGTATTTATCATATTCATTGTTTTTATGGCATGATAATATTCCATTAGATTCATATGCCACAATTATGTAACCATTCTCCAATTGATGGACATCTTCTTTGTTTCCAATTCTTTGTTACAACAAAAAGTGCTGCTATATGTTTCAGGGGGTGCATAGGAATTTTCTTTTTATCAATGACCGCCCTGGAATACATTCCTATTATGAATCTCTGGGTCAAAGTGTATGGACATTTAAAAAATTACTTTATTCACATAATTCCAATTCTGTTTCCTTCATTTGTCTCCCAAAATGATTGTACTGATTTACAGCTTTACCAACAATGCACCAATGTGTCTATCTTCTCACAATCCCTCCCACATAGATCGTTAACATTTGTTATTATCTTTGCCAAATTTCAGGGCATAGGGTAAAGCCTCAAGGTTGTTGTTTTGCATTTCTCTTATTAGTAGGGATTTGGATCATTCTGTCATATGTTCACAATATGTCTTTTGAGAAATGTTTGTTCATACCCTTTGACCATTTATGTGCATTGTGTGTGTATGGTGTTGATGTGTTGTCTATATATCCTGTACATCAAATCTTTATCTGAGAAATTTGATACCAAGGGTTTTTTTTCCCATTCAACTGCTTCCCTTCTTAATATAAGTGTATTAATTTTGTCTATGCAGAAGCTTTTCAATTTCATGTAATCAAAATTACCTTTTTTATCTTTAGTAATTATCTCTAAACTTTGTCTGACTAAGAATACATTTCCTACCCATAGTTGTGAAATGTATGTGACCTGCTTCTCTTTTAATATTTTTATGGTATGATCTTTAATATTCAGCTTATATATCCATTTTAATTTATTGTGTTGTAATATCTTGGTCTAAGCCTAATTTTACCATTATCATTCCTTAATAATATAAACTTACTTAAGGGATAGGCAATGTGGAGAAGACAATGAATTAAATTTTAGATACTCATTGTTATTTTGATAATAGCATTCATATGGTATTCTAAGGTTTGTAAAGCACTTTGTAAATATTGTCTGATTTTATTCTCATAAGAACCTTGGGTAGTATGTGCTATTAATATCTTCATTTTACAGGTGAAGAACCAGGCAGACAAAGGTTAAGTGATTTACCTAGGGTCACAAAACTAGTATACGTCTGAGGCAGGTTTTGAATTCAGGTCTTCCTAACTCCAGGTTCAGCACTCTATTCCTTCACTGCCTCATTGATATCATTTGTAGATATTTGTATCTGTCTTGCTCCCCTTACTAGATGCACTCTTGGATATCATGACATTCAGCACAATGAGTTCTACAAACAAGGAGAACTCATTAATGAGCGATATTGAAATGAAATATTCCAGCTTTATATATTGGCAGTGAGGAAATCTTAACTACCAAGGCTGTGGAAATGGGCTGGGGGAGCCAAAACTTTGAGCTCTTCCTTTTGGAGGTAAGCCACATAGAGGCTAGGTTTCTTGGGGGTAGGGCCACAGGAGGATAGCCAATGCTGTTTGGCTTGGTAAATTAAGGGACAAAGCATGCCTTCTGGGTCATAAGAGCCCTGCAATGTTGAATTTTATCAGCCCTATACAAACTGAAGTAAGAACATTCTCAAACCCCAACTTACTTCATCTCTCTTTGTTCAGTGCTTTGGATTGAGGCCTTCCAGATCTCTTTCAGCAACCTGAGAAACATGCAGAAGCCATAACCTTTTAAAAATTGCTTCTTAATATACCATGTGGCAAATATTTTAGTTAGGTCTTACATTTTAATCATACTTTTCTCTTTGGGTCAAAATCCTATCTTATATGTTCCTGTGTTAGCTTCTACTTTTGACAACTAGGATTATTTTCATAGAGTCATAGAATGTTAGATTTGAAATAGATAACAATCTAATCCACCCCCAAAAAAGGAATCCCCACTACAACACATCTCCAAAAAACCTCTGCTTGGTGACCTCCAGTGAGGGAAACCTCTACCTCCCAAGGCTGCGTATTTAGCTTCAAGATAGCTTTAATTGTTAGAAAGTCCTGACATCAAGCCTGAATTTGTCACTTTGCTACTTCACTTTGAGCACTAACAGAACAGGTCTAATCCTTTCCCATGTGATATCCCTTCAACATACACTATACCCCTTGAACCTTCTCTTCTCCAGAATAAATATTCCCAGTTCCTTCCACCAACCACATGAGGTTATTACCTGGACTCAAAGCCCTCCACCATCCTGTTTTCCCAATCCTTCCTAATTCTAGTGTTTTTCCTTTGTTGATTATTTCAAATTTATCTTATATA